CAAGCCACACTCAGTACTGACTTGGTCTGCGTGCAACTTGCAATTTCACCCCACTTCCTCAACATGTCATCCACAGTGTAATCTGTGAATATTTCCAGAGATTTCARCCACTGTACCGCCCTAAACTGTATGATAGTCCTCAAATCTGCTATGTTCAGAAACTTATATACATGGCTAAGAAAAAGGAGGGTATTATGGAGATGCACAAGGGCAGAAATTGTGCAGACAATATGGGAAGAAAGAAATGCAAAAATCTTCAAGGAGGAAAAAAGTCAGGAGGCAATATTTGAATGCATCATGGCTAGGGTGTTGCATAGGATCAAGTCCATGGAGCTATTCTCTTCCTATTCATATGATGATTTATGAAAGTCCATAAACAATGGACACCACCTGAGGAGGCATTTATTAAAATAAACTCTGACGGAAGCAGTGAAGGAAATCTGGGTCCATCAGGTGTGGGAGGTGTTTTTAGGGACAAGCATGTACACATCATTGCTATGTTCCCAGGGCTTTGAGGATTCTACAAGAAAGCAGTGTGGGGCTATAGGAATGAACTAAGACAGATCAAATGGTTGGAAAGGAGCATGATTATAAAGATACAATGTGTGCTGAGATCTGCAAATGGACTCGTATAATACTCTAGCTAAGCAAGGGGTTACCAGAAATCAATTTAGTGGGCTTACTTATGACATGCATGTTCTTGAAGTTGTAGGGTAGTAATCACCACCCTACCCAAGGGTTGATTGTAATGATTGTATGTAACAAGTGTAATATTTCTGATCATTAATAATAATAAAAAAATAGTGTGCTAAGTTCTAAGCACCTCCATCACCCAAAAAAGAGGCCAAATAATAACCTAAAAAAAAACTGTAGAACACAATAGAATCATTTATCTTAATAAAAGGTTAAGTGGCATAAAATCAAGTTAGTTTGGCCAACCAGGAAAAGAGCCAAGATATAGTAAAGCAGACTACATGCAATTATAACACAACCTTCACCATGTGAACTTACATGCCGTCCTTCTTTGACTTGTAATCAAGGTACTTTTTCAATATATCATCAACACTTGGGGAACGTGGAAGCTTAACAAGCTGCAGAGACAATACGACAACTCATCAGTAACAAAAGACAAGAGGGACATGACCACTGATACATAGCATGAATGAACACAAAAAGAAAAGTAGGCATGGGATACAATGAAAGAACTTGTTAAACTTTGAGAAAAAGGTAAGGTAATATTTTGTATTATCACTATACCTATAATCATCTCAAGCATAAAACAGACATAACAGATCTGTTCTAGTTATTTTTACAGTAGAAATCACGAAAATTAAGCGGAAAATTGAAATAGAAAAGATGGAAATCGAGCCGGCAAGCTGTTGCAGGTTTTCTGGGTCAGAAAAAAAAACTTCAGGTCTAATCTAATTATGTGCCAGGCAGACCAAGTAAAGGGAAAATAGGGAGGATTTGTTTTGGGCTCAGCTGTAACGCTTGTTTCTTCTTTCTAGTTTCCTTGTAATCTGTTGGGAGAGGCTACAGCTCACACCTCTCCAAAGGCTGTTGTATGAGTTTAAAGTTCTATATTAAGTTCTGAATTAATAAAATTTTCTCATTATTCATCAAAAAAAAAAAAGTGCCAGGCAGATGCCTTATAAAGTAGGGCAAATAAAAGCTTCAAATAAAAGTACCCTATAGCTTAAAAAGAAAGTACAATATAACCCAGTCCAAAAATCACCAAAATAACCTTGTTTTGTGATTAATAACCCTTAATAACTAATTCAAAGATCCTCTAGCAGCAATATACCAACTAGAAATGCAAGAACATCTAGAAATCATAAAAATAGAATTGAAAAACAATTGATTAGTGAAATCAGAGTGACTGCTTCCCTTTCTTGCAGTTTTTAGATTTTTCAGATACCCCTTCATACTTGAGTGCTCTGGCTCTACGTTATCATCTAAACTAAGCAAAGTTCCCCAATGGTATGGGGTTGTTTAAATAAATACTGTTTCACTATTTTACTCCACCAATGTCCATACGCATGCTTACATTGTGAATCCTTAAACAGTCCATAGTTTCCAAGTGCAGTTGAACAGGAGAGGAAGCAATTCCACTGGGTGAGGTTCCACATATTGATGAATTGGCTGCAACATTGGGTTGTAGGGTTGGCTCTCTGCCCATCTAAGTTCCTTGGAATTCAATCGGGGGCATCCTATCAGTCCAAGGAGATATGGGACCCATTTTTTAGAGGTTTAAACACAAGCTAGCCAGATGGAAGAAAACATATTAGCTGAACGGGGGTTGGGGGGATCACTCTACGTCAATCAGCATCATCCATTTTCATGAGATTGAGGAGGAACATAGACAATTGGGAAGCAGATAGTCTTTCCTTATTGCTCATGCCTTTACCAATATCAGGGAGGAGGCCATCCCATGGAAATGGATTTGGAAAGTCCATGCCCCACCCAAGGTGGTTTTCCTTATGTGGACCACTATTTTGGAGAAGACTCTCATTGTGGAACAGTTACTTCACAGAGGGATGATATTGGAAAACGCATGCCATGCATGTGGTGAACCATTGACCAGATGTTTATTCACTGCAATTTCTCCTACTGCGTCTGGATTCACTTTCTGGCTTGTTTCATACTCGGGCTTTTCCCTCAGGACTCAAAAGTCTGATATCTTCTTGGACAGCTCATGGTTTCAGGAGGGGAAACATCTTATGGAGACTTTTGTCCTTGGCCTTGTGTTGGAATCTATGGCAGTAGAGAAATTACAGGATCTATGAAAACAAGAAATGCACTAAGGAGGTTTTTACGGGGAATATAGCAAGATACTTAACAAAATGGGCACGCATATACCATAGGTACAGCCGATTTGCTTAACAGGAAAAAAGAAATCTAAAAGAAATGAAGTACTTCAAAAAGCTTATTTGCTTAATTGGTTAGAGTATTGACGCAAAAGTTGTGGGTTTGCACATTATAAATACTTTATTGTTTAAACTCTAAGCACCATAGGTACAGCCTACAATATAGTAAATTATGTATCCAACATTAACTTCAAGGTCAAATCATCAAAATATGGCAACAAGCCAGGTGATGCACATTTGGGCTCAGGTAAGGCAAACCCCACACAAAATGAGTCTTGCAGCATGCTGTGAACCAAAGCACACCCAAGGTGCACCTTTTAAAACACTTGACCATGGCCAGGAGTTCCAAAGAGGGATCTTTGGGTTCTTTCTGGAAGAGCTAATCATAACAGAAAGGTCAATAGGTGATGTTCAAGTTGTTTCAAAGTCTTGATTGATCACTAAATTCACAACTCAATTCAGGTAAACTACATTATTCCTTATTCTAGACTATGATACTGGGATACTTGCACATACCTTGCTTAGCTTGTTAGAAAGGATACTTATCAGATACAATACCAGATACTGCATGGATACTTCTAGATGTATGTTATGGTATTAACACTTTTAAGATGCATGCTTAAAAGTATTTTGAAGAATCTAATCCAGTGCTCTAAGGTGACTCCAAACTAATAAAAAGTATTTTTGAGGAATCACTCATAGTAAAACTGAGAAGTGATTATAGTGGTGGAAAATAACTACCTTACCCAGCTGAGTAACAAATTCCCAATCATCCACAAGTTGCTTCTTTAGGGTTGATGGAATTTGGACCTTCACAAGCTTCTCAACAGATTCAGTATCCTTCTCCTAACAATAATAAGACTATTAAATTACCAAATGAAATCAAGAATAGTAACAATAAACTGATAAAAGAGGAGATTTAACACTCATCAAATGAAATATCATAGCCAATAGAAGGAAACTCAAATGCTATTATCAAGTTCAAATGTTCCAACTCTAAAATACAACACAATAGCTTTTCACAAGAAACCTTACTAGTGGAGGCTCACTTGTTGGTATTTATTTAATCATTGAGATGATAACTGTTTTCTCAGTGTATGCATTACATACTTCATAAATATCTAACCATCAACAGTGTATAACTTGTTAGGAGAGAAGCCGGATGTGCTTGCTTCTGTATGAATTTTTTTTATCAATAACAATTTCATTACTTGCTTCTGTATGAATGTACCAATGAAGAAGTATTTTTCTTTATTGTGGTTCAAAGATCACCTTAGAAAGGACATTAACTTGGTCCCAGTTATCTGGGGTCTTGGGAGGGGTAAACTGGATACAGTCCTAACCTTTGACATTTTTTTGCACAAAGCGGCCACTCTCAGATTCAAACCTGCACTCTCACACATGCCAGCACAAGATTTTACATTAAACCAAGTAATGGACCCTTGACCTTCATCATCATCACCATATGGGGTCTGCTATGGTCGGCTACATGAATCCTGTTTTGCAAATCCATTCGATTTAAAGCCATGTCCATTGTTAAATTATTAGTGCTTAAACCATTTCTTACTACTTCTACTCATGTCCTTTCTGGTCTACCCCGAGCTCGTCTTATTTATGGCAAGCCTGGGGAACTGAGTTGCTAGTTCAACTAATGACCATGATAGGTGACATGTAAAGTATTTCCTTCAATTCACAAACTTAATTTTAACAGAAGATGCAATAGCCACTGGTGCTTTACAGGTTTCTCTCTGGACAATGCCACCATAAATCATTTCTAAAAGAAACTAAATTACAAGTGACACTGCATAAGCTAGAGAATGACCTTGTAAGTAAAACTTTTTAGTTCAGAAATCATATAACAAATGTATTAAAAATAGTTATGCTTAATCAGCAAAATGATTGCAATACCGCAAATAATGCACATTTATTGTGAATGCATAAGCATATAAGAGAGGCAAAGAGAATCAGACTAGAAATAAGAAAATCTGAAAATCAAAGCACTTTAGATAAATCATAATAGAAGCACACCTCAACACCAGAGTCACTCTTGCGCTTTTTGCCTCTAGACACTGCATTAACATTCAATGTGTTAATTAAGTGGTTGCTTCAAAATAATATGTTCTTTTCTATTTTCCAATTGAGCAATAAAACCCAAAGCCCAATGAGTAAGACAAGGACAATGTTACAAGTACTTCTAATCACACTAAATCCTCAAGTATTTATGTGTATCTAACTCAAATCTGCTCACACCTCTAGTGATAAAAAGAACTGGATATCTTGGAGATTCCCATGAAAATCTCCATGGTTAAGGTTATAATAATATGCATTACATACAACTTCATGATGTAAGGAGGATGGAACTTGTGGTATTGGCTGTTTAGCTAGAGACGAGGAGGGCCATGTTGAACCTAGAAGTAAGGCACTTGGATCATGTTCGATAAATGTTGCTCAAGCGTGGACAGCTGTTGAAGCCCATTCTTTGGCTACTTTTTTCCAAGAAAAACATATTGTTGTTGAGGGTGATTCAAAATTAATTATTGATAGTTTGAAAGGGATCGTTTCTCCACCCTGGAGCATAAACAAAACTTAATTGAAGAATGCTATTGCATTCTGGTGGATTAGTTGGGTAACAAGGGTCATGTTGCTAATTCTGGGGATCTCCAAAGACAAGCTCATTGTTCTCATCCATTTGCTTAAGCAATTCCTGGGGGAGGGCTACCCCCCATGTTGCATAGTCCTCTTCTGAAAAAAAAATGCAACTTCATGACATATTTGTGTAAAGGATTGACCCTATTCATATCACAAAATACTGCATATTGCTATGTCATTTCTGCTCCTTCCCAAACCGGTGGTTGCTTCGAGAGGATTGACCCTATTCATATCACCTGTCACCATATTTTCTGGGAGAATGGAGAAAGAATTTCCATGAACACGGACAAAAGAGAAAGGAGAATTGAGTTCTTCGTAAGCACTTGCATGATCATATCTGGGAGAGTGAAGTATGTTTTAGTTATGTGCCGTCATCATCATATAAGCCATGACCCAACTATATGGAGCTGGCTACATGAATCCTGTTTCGCCATTCCATTCTGTGAAGTAAAAAACTCTTTTACCAAGGGTGCCACTATTCCATTTTATGTGAGAGAATGAGATAGTAATTGCAGGAAAAAAGGAGAAAGATAAAAGAATAAACTGCTTTTATCCTTTCCTTAAAACTTGGATCTTTTATGCTTTCGCCCTTTTTGATCAGTTACAGTGAAATGTATTCATTGTAATTGGCCAGAAAAATAATAAAACCCTAAAACCAAACATAAGAAATATATATTATATGATAATATCATATTGAAGTTCTTCCTTGTGACTTTTTATGCCTATGCAGGCTAGGCAACTTGCTAAGGGTACCTTGATGTCTAGGAGACATGTATGATTAAGGTCTGTGATTTGGATGATATCTTGATTAAGGATCATGCTACAGCTTTATGTTTAGGAAAGGCCTTAGGGAGGGGAAGCTCGCTTCCTGTTGGAGTTGCTATCCTTATTGGAGTTTCTTTGGACCATTTGGGTTTGCATAGTCAGATTTAGTCAACTTCCTTTTCCAAGTTATTTTCTTGTGTTTCTGTTTCTTAGTGTTGTATTATACTTTTCCCATTCATCAGTTCAGTTCTTGTGAAAAAGGTATGGAGCAATAGCCACCTAAGGTTTTAAGGCTTATTATTGGGAAGTGGTTCTAGGGAAAATATATATTTGTGCAATGCTCCAAAACAGTTTGTCACAAGTTATGGATCAAAGCTAGTGGTGAGACTTCACCCCATTTACTAATTTCTTGCTTATTATGTCACAAGTTTGGGAATACTTTTCTACTCTTTGGTTGCAGATGGGTTCCACCTCAGGATGTTGCTTGCTTATTCAGTCCAGGAGTTATGACTTGAGCAAAAACAAGAGGCAAAGCAATATAGACAGCCACTAAACCTGAAAATTTATGGAAAATATGGGAGAAGAGGAATAACAGGCTGTTCAAGGAGCAATGCAAAACCTTGAAATCCATAATTGAAAGCATCACTTTGGAGGTAAATTCATTGGATCAAGAAAATGGAGATTTTTTTTTTTATCAGTGAATTGTCAGATTTATTAAATCAAAGCCAAAGATAGTACAATTTAGGGAGGGGCATGAGATGCTACCTCCCCTTTAAGGAGGGGAGATGGAAGAAGCCATTAACCCTTTAGTTAAAGAACATAACAAAGGATAAAGAAAATTACAGAGAAGCCCAATATAAGGAAACCCGAGTAGCCCCTTGTTGCAGAATCTCTACTTTGAAGACTACAATCCAAGAACAAAAGGCTTCCCAAACAATAAAGGATAAAAATAAATTTTGATGTACTCTCTCAGGCATTGGAAGAGTTCATAGGGATGGAAATAGATCAATTCTGGCCCTATTTTCGGGTTTACTAGGTTATGGAGACTCAAACATTGTTGGAAGGTCTATGACTAGCCAAGTAGAAATTTAGGTGCATAGAGGTTGAAGGGGATTCCATGCAAATTTTAAGTAATTTAGCAACAGAGGTTGATGCCACTTTCAGATGGGTTAATAATAGATCAACAAATGGTTTGCACCTGAAGTATGAGTGAGGTGCACACCTTTTTGAAGCAAGGTGCAAACTAAAAAATAAATAAATGTAAAAAACAAAATAAATTAAGAAAATATCAAAAATGCAAACTTTAATTTTAAACTAAATATATTAACAAGCTTATTAGCTCAAATTAAAATACAAAACCATAACATTAAAACATATTCAAGTATGTCGAACTTTCAATTTCTTTATTTCTTTTTTAATTGAATTATATTTCAAATAGATAGTATGATGTTAAACATGTTTCTTCCAAATTCTAGGAGCTGCCTTTGTAACAAGCCCCTTGATGCAAACCCAAACAAATCCATCTTAGGGTCATAAATTCTTAATCCTAACAAAAAAAAAGGTTTAATAATTTTAATTATCTTTCAGAAAATATCTTTTAAAGGAAGAACGAAATGAACAACATGCAGCATCACTTGTAAATTATCTTTCTACTCTTAAAGGGCTGACAACTTGCAATCAAATGGAGAAAAAAGGATTTCCTTTGGGAAGGTGGGGATAAAGGAAAGAGTGGCATTTAGTTAAGGGGAGCAAGTTTGTAGGGGAAAAAAGGTTCAAAGGACTGAATTTTAACAAAATGAGGAAATTGATGAACAAGGCATCATTGGAAAATGGTTACGGAGGTTTACCAAAAAAAGAGGGAAGAAACGTGGAGAGGAGTGGTGGTATGGAGTTGCAAGATTTCATTGTGACTCTAGACAGGTGCCAGCATCTTATGGGGGGGGTGTGGAAAGGAATTATGAAGAAACTTGCTAAATATATTAAATTGTTGTAGGAGAAGGGACAAGAAGAAGATTTTGGGAAGATGTGTGGTGTGGAAACAAAAAATTGTGTGATGTGTCTCCAAGAATATATAGGCTGAATTTTAAAATCATTACAGTTAGTCAATGTTTTGATAAGAGGGGTGAGCAGGTTGTCTGGTTCCCAAAATTTAGTCAGCCATTATTGGACAGAGAGGTAGAGGAATGCATCTTACTGCTTTCAAGATTGGAGAATATGAAGATGGATGCTGATGCACCAGACATAGTATGTACAGATGGAAAATTTTCTGCAAGTCCTATGAAGCTGTTACCAGAAATCAAGTTGGCAGATCAAGCGTTTGTGGAGTTTAGGTTGACCCAATTCCTCCTTAAGTTGAAACCTTTGCATGGTTCCTTCCTTTGGATGGTATCTTAACAATTGATCACCTGAATCAAGATGTTTTTAGATGCCAAGCATATTATTTTGTGCATGAAACAGGAGAATGTAAGTCATTTATACATTGTTGCTGGACAGACTTCTTAAGGGGTTCCTTCTTTACTATGTAGGAATGGCAATTTTCCCCATTTCCCCGATCCCCATGGGGATCTGCCCCGAATGGAGCAGGGATGGGGATGATTTCCCCCCTACAGGGACGGGGATGGGGAAATTTTAATCCCGGTTGGCGGGGACAGGGAGAGCACACCCCACCCCGTGGGATCCCCACTAATATATATATGTACATATGTATGCATATGTTTATATATGTATATGTGTACACATACATCTATATATTAATATTTTTAAAAACATGTTTAAATCTTTTCTAATAAGATTGCAAATTTTAATTATTTTAGTTTTATTTTATTAAATCTATACTATCTATAAAAGTGTGAATAGGTGTTCATGGCTTCTGGAATTTTCATTAGACAACAAAAGCCTCCTCTCTAAAGTTTAAATTGGAAAACAAATAAAGGCAAAATTGTTATTTTATATCTTCACTCAGTAATTAATTGATAAAAGGACCCAAACTACTTTTCTTCAATAATTGAAAAACAAGATATAGCGAAAATGTCATTTTACATTTTTCATTTAATGCTTATTTATATTTATACTATTACTAAAAGTGTGAATAATGGTATAGAACTTTCGTTTGACTAAATTACCCCAATTTTTTAATTTGGTCATTGTCTAATTTTAAGGACAGGAATGTAATTTGAAAAGCCACTTTTCTCCTCATTCAAATCCCTTTCATTAAGTCTCTCATATTTAAAGTATTAACTTTCACTAACATTCATTGAATCCAATTCTTGACTAGAATACTCTTATTTTTGAATATGGTCCCTTTTTAATTGTGAAGGCACAAAATGTAATTTGAATTACTACATTTCTCCTCATTCAATTCCATTTCATTAAATCTTATCTTAGAGTATTAACTCTTGTTTTTTTATTGAATCTTGTATTTAAGATATTATTTTCACAAAATAAAAACAAATAAGTTCTATCGATTAAATCTATACATTCAATATTTTTAAATTTTAATGATATAAAATACATGCTTTTTAAAATTTACCCAAAACTGGAACTGTTTTTCCATCATGGTGGTGAGTAAGCAATTCAAAGAAAAATTTTGTAAATAACATTTAGGTGTGTATCTAATATTTCATATTGACCATATTAAATAAAAATATGTTTAATAAATAATAGTTACTTTAGTGATGTTGGAAATAAAATGTAAAATTAAAAACCAACCCAAAAATGAAATTATTTTATTAATAGTGGGTCAACAGTTCAACCTTTTAGGTCATGTGTGTCTCCCATTGATTTCATAATTAAATAATAAAGATTAAAAAATTATAAAAATACAAAAAGTATGACAAAGATAAAAACTCTATAGAAATCATTTAGACACATCTCTAATATTTTATTTTAATCATATTAAAAATTATACACAATAAACAAGAATTGTTTTTAACTTTTGATTGATGATATAAATAAAATACAAAATTGAAAACTAACACAAAAATAAAATTAGTTTCCTATTTGGTGGTAGATCAATTCAACACTAGAGGTGATCAAAAGTGTCAACTTATGAAGTTATAATTAAATAATATTTTTTTAAAAAGATAAAACACAAAAATATACAAAAAATATATAAATTATGTAGAAAACATTTAAGCATATCTCTATATTAGTGAATCATAATAAGTGTGACAAATAGCTTTAACAAACTGACAAGATATTAGTAAATGGTAATTACTTCTCTGTTTGGATGCAGATGGATCCCCCCTTTGAATGTACCAAGCTTATTTTCCTCCATGCCTAATTGGCCAACTAAAAGGGCTAAGACCATATGGAGGTGTGGTAGAGCTGCAGTTTGTTGGACAGTGTGGGAGGAGAGGAATTCAAGGATTTTCTCAAATAAAGAGAGAAGTGTGGAAGAAATCATGGAGATCATCCACATTAGGATGGTACATTAGTTGAGAACATTGGAATTGTTCAAAGTGTTCTCAGTTGATGAGTTGTTAAGGAACTGGAAGGAGATTGCAGAATCAGGCTTAAGTAGAAAAATTTTAAATGCTTGCTGGACTCCTCCACCTCATGGGTTTACCAAACAGAATTTTGATGACAGAAGCATAGGCAACCCAGGGCCTTCCGGAATAGGGGGAGTGATAAGGGATGAAACAGGGAACTTGTTAGCCATGTACTATGGGCTGATTGGGGTGGAAGACTCATTGAGGGCTGAGATTTTAGGAGCTATTGAAGGGATACAAAGGGTCAAAGAAATGAATATCAAAAAGGTGCTTATAGAAGGTGATTCTGAAACTGTGGTGAATTGGCTAAAAGAGGACAGTTCTATGATTTGGAAATACAGCAATGAAAAGAGGAAGTTTAAGTGGCTAACCAAGGACATCGAAATTCAGTGTACATGGATAAAGAGAAGTGCAAATGCATTGGCTGATGGTCTAGCTAGGCAAGGGGTAAACAGAGACACCTTATTTTGGGTTGTTTTGTAATCATTGCATGGTCAGGATGTTTCTTGGGTTGGTGGGAGTTAAGAATTTTTAGTTCCCTCCCTTTGTAATTCTAACTTTATATATCAATAATAAAACTTCACTGTTATTGATAAAAAAAAAATAAGTGTGTCAAATAAGAATAATTTTTATAGTCATAGAAATATTAAAAATTGTAAAAAAATTTGAAACATATCATATACCATCATCATCATCACAAAATTTCTCATGTGCAAAGCACACACATACTAGTAAAATAAAAAACAAAAACAAAATGGTTGACATTATAAAAAATCATGGGGAATGCGGATGGAGAGAGGCTCCCCACCCCTACCCCGCCCCGTTGCCATTCCTAATTTAATGTTGGAAAGTTTAGTCCAACAGAACCAAAGAAGATTTGTCGATATGACCTATGTTGGAAGGAATGACAAAGCCAAGATAGTTTGTAGTATCATTTCATTTGTTTTTTGTTAGGGTAAATGGAGAGAAAGAAACAGACGGATTTTTGAAAAGAGTGCCAACATAGAAGAAACAGATGGTTTTTTGTTGTAACTTGAATATCATTCTCAGGGAGGGTTAAGAGATTTTACCCCTCCCTCCTTTCTATTGTATCTTATGCTTTCATTTTGTCACCTTGACCCCTCCCAAGGTGACTTAAAATGATGGAAGAAGTGGTTAAGTGGTCAGTTTACTCATTGTATGATCCTCCTACGAAGCAATCATTCAAAATCAGGTGGAGCATTTTGCTTTAAAGGGTGTTTGGGGTAATCTAGTTCTGCTGACAGTAGAAGCCTTTGCTTGGCTAGTTTCTTTGAATAGCATTTTGATTATTAATCGCTTGAAGCCAAGAGGATTTCAGATGTGAAGCTTACATTTTATGTGCAAGAGATGAGATTCCTCATCTGTTCATTCATTTTAAGGTAGCAGATTTTATTCGGGCCTTTTCCACTTTGATTAAGCATACAGGGGGGAATCCTTCTTTTCCATATGGGATGTTTTCTGAATGGCCTACAATTACTGGTGCAAGAAAGCTAAGATCTTACAGAGTACCATTCTATTGGGGGATTTGGAAAGAGAAGAACAGATAAACTTTCAATGAAATGATCATGTCTTCAAGGAAAACGGTAGCTGGTATCTGTTCCATGATAGTGGAGTGGGTTTTGGTGCATCCTCAATTCAAGGGAATGTCTTGAGAGACTCTTGGTTTGGAATCCTTGTATATCTTATTTTCAGATTAGTAGTTTTTTCTTTTCCTTTTAGTACTGGTGGTTGGAATTGAAGTCTAATTTTCTTATTTTGGGTGAAATCTCTTCAGCAATAGATTATAATATCTCATTCTTTGTGATCTTCTTCTACAGTACTATCAAAAAAGAGTACAGCATTCCATCTGTCAAGATGTTTCAGGACAGCATCAAGATCACAGAAGAGACAAGTAAATATTAATGTAGGCAATATACAATTTACAGAAAGTGATTATGCAATGTACTTTGATAATTTTGTAAAGGCAAGAAATCACTTTAGAATTATTTGGAAAACCTAAAACACAAATTCCAAAACAGAGATAGAACATTGATAATACCATGATTCCTAACATCTTCTTTGTCCACTTTTGCATCTGCAAAATTCAAGAAAAGAATATTAACATTAAAAACAAGTTACATGTGAAATAACACGCATACACACAGAGAATGATACAGGAAGATCTTTGACCAATCAAACCCCTCCCCCAAGAATTTTGATGAATACCACCTGATTGGCTACCACATCCATGACACCAGTGTGTGTGTGTGTATAATGAAAGGTACATAATTGTCTAAAGGACAGAAAAAAATAAAGAGATATGCAATTCTTTTAGGATAATTTTTTCCTTTCTATTTCAAAAGGAAGGTTCTAATAATTAAGGCATAAATAGGTACAATGAAAAGGATGCAGTGGCTTCCAGAAGATAACAAATAGAAACAAGAAGTTAATTTAGAGCATCACTGTGAGAGTGGCTCCATGGATTGAGACAATGAAGTTCTTTGGGTCATTCTCACTAGAAGACATTAGTAGAGGGTAGTATTTGGCAGCAGCATGCTCATCATCCGTCACAATGGAAACCTCAGCAAATAGACATAGTACAACTACATTTTGATGGCTGTAGCGGGTGTAATCCTGGCTGGCTGGGTACAGGGGGAACATTTAGAAATGACAAAGGAGAGATTCTTGCCTTATTTTCAGGGCCAGTAGGTCAAGGAAACTCAACAAGAGCAGAGTTATTGGCAATGCTTGGTTTCAAGATAGCAAAGCATCAAAATTTTACAAAGCTCATAGTAGAAGGGAACTCAAAAGTAGTGGTTGGATGGTTGGGAGAGGAAAGATTAGTTTTTTTTTTTGGATCAATAACATTACCAATTTTATTAAAAGAAGAAATTTAGTACAAAGAAGGGGTAGGGATAAACACTCTTAGCCCTCCCGAAAAGGAAGATTACAGAACAGCCCAAAAAAACTCATTCCTTCCCACCCCTTGTTTAGCAATCGTGTCAGCAACAGCATTTGCGTCTCTTTTAACCCAATTACAAGACACCTCTGCCCCTTGCGGCAAATTAACAGCTTTTCTCTTTTCGTAAATGTAGCAGCACCATCGCTCTCTTTTCGTGAAAGATTAGTTCCATGGCTTTTTTATGAAATGCTGAAGTAAGGAATTGTATTAAGCTGTAGAAAGAGTAATAACATCAGGACCCCTATACATTGCTTATTTACTTTTACTTACGAAAAGATGCTAATCAGCAAAACAAAAGCGTAAGACCAGTCATATCTTTATAATCGACACTCTTTAACTCATGTACTGCCAACCAAGAATACAACAGGACAAATATCTTCCTTCTTGATACCTCCTTGGCACTACTCTTCTGATTAAAAATGTGAGGGTTCCTTACTCCCCATATCACCCAGATGGCAGAACAGGGCACCTATTTCCACACTAAAGTATTTCCACCTTAAATATATTTAGACAGCTCAAAAATAACTAAAGCAATACCAATATCACATCAGCCCAAAAATTCTGAAATTGGTGTACAAATTGGAAAACTGATTTAATTCTCCATGCATTCTTTCCTTTCTTTTGTATCTGCATCACCCTCACTAATTTTAACTTGGATGGCCAGCTTCCCAAACTCTCCCGCTTGATGCAATACTCTCTCCATGGCAGATTACATCCATGACTTTCCAAAGAAACAGCAATAAGGTTTGTTTTGGGCCACTTTGTAACTGTGTTTCAGGCTTGTGTTTGTTTAGTGTTTATGACTCAGTCCTAGGGGGAGGTAACACCTCGTGCCTCTTCCTAGGCTGAATGTACTACTATTTTTTGAATTAATAAAACTACTCTCATTTATCAAAAAAAAAAGAAACAGCAATAAGGTCAATATGGGAAGAGAGAAACTCGTGACTATTTTCAGACAAGGAAAGAACCACAGAAAACCTAATTGAGTTGATACACTTAAGGGTAGCTCACTGGCTGAAATCTATGGAGATATTCTCTGAATTTTCTATGGCTGACTTGTTGAGAAAGTGGAAAGAGGTAGTTACTGCTGCTCTTTGTAAGAGGACCTATAGACCCTCTTGGACCCCCCCCCCTCCCGCTGGATTCATAAAACTGAATTTTGATGGAAGTAGCTTAAGGAATCCAGGGCCTTCTGGGATTGGGGGTGTGTTCAGGAATGAGGAGGGGTTTATTATTGCCATGTTTTCTGGGCCAATTGGAGAGGGTGACTCTCTTAGTGCCAAGATTCTAGCAGTTCTTGAAGGAATCCAAAGAGCAAGAGAATTAAGCATCAGATGCTTAGTTATTGAGGGGGACTCAGGTGGTGATTAGGTGGCTGAAAGGAGACAACAGTGGTTTGTGGAGCTACGGTAATGAAAATAAAAAATTTAAATGGCTGAGTAAGGATATAGAGGTGAAGTACAGTTGGGTGAAGAGAGGTGCTAACTCAATGGCTGATGGGTTAGCTAAGCAAGGGGTGGCTAAGGAATCTTTGTTTTGGGCTAATTTTTAGTTTTGTTCCTTGTCCTTTTGTTGCTGGGGTGATAAGATAGTTTACCTCCCCTTTTCTGTAATTAAAGTTTCACAAATATTATTCATTAACAAAGCTTTCTGTTATTGATCCAAAAAAAAAAAAGAAACAGCAATAAGACAATAATATTTCTCTGAATGAGTATCAAATTCAATAATACATATTAGGGTTTTTTTTCAAAATTCAGATTATGAGAAACTATGGACAAATTTAGAATAATGAACTGGTTTTCTTGGCACATTTAGCATATAAAGGCAGAAAAAAATGAGATGCCAATGAACAAAACCATAACCTAATCACCAAAAAGCTCCTAACTTGCTCTAGCACATCTCATTGAATTCCAAGAGCCTTGTACTATCTTCAGAGAAGCCATCTCAGGAAATCTGCATTCTGCAGGCTTTGATAGCATTCGCCATAAATTAAGACAGACCTACTTGTAGACCTATAATTGAATATAATGCCCTCTACCTAAGATGCAAATCTTGGGTGAGCACTCTCTTCAAAACTGCATGCAAGCACAGGAAAGGGCTATGTAACCCAAGGATAACAGCATAAGCATACCTAGATTACAGAGAATAACAACCCCCCACTTCCCAAGAAAGGCACAGAAAAGGAAACATGAAAAGAGATGGGAAAATAAGAAAACAAGAAAACAAACATATTTTTAGGCCAGAAATAATCTTCCTTCCATTTTGTTATTCTTCTCTTTTTTAATTTTGTATCAGCCTCTGAAGAACAAAGGCATGATTAATCTATTACAATACCAAGTCAAAATGGTATTTTTTTATCAATAACTGAACTAAGTCATTAATGTAATTAGAGTGTACAAGGAAGAACAGAGACATAAACCCTATTAACTCTCCCCAAGCAGTATACAAGGACTAAAACAACCAAGTCAACATGGATTGGAAATTAAGATATGAATTAAGGAAGTATGCAAAAGAAAGAGAGTCGTTAGTCAACTACCAAAGCTCAAAGCAATTATATTAAATTAGTTCACAAAGCAATGATATCAATTTAAGTAAAAGAGAACTAACCAGTAGAGTTTTTTGGCTTGATTTGAGTTGAACGTCCTGACTTTGGATTTTTATCCGCACCCTGTCTTTTTTCAAGTGTCTGTTGCTTCCGAACATTCTCTTCAGTGAATTTCATTAAACGATCCACACCTACCCATTCATCCCAACTGTTGATAATAGATGCTCAAGAAATCAATGCACATATAATTGTCATTAGAAGAATCATAGAGAACTTGGTAAAGAAGAAAATTACGATTGACTTTCTCTCTCTTTTCTTTTCCCAGAACAAATAATGAAATTGATTAGAAAGATCCAGCTCTCTTTAATCTTATTAAACATTAACCTAGTTCTTTGATCCCAATCCCAAATACTTGGGATTAAGGCCGAGTTGAGTTGAACTAAGTAAAAGCTAATACCTTAGCAGCAAGAGCAAAATTAAGAATACAAAATTTCATGTAATAAGTCAAAGAATCAACCAAATATGCTAGCACAATCCATGAATAATTTGAAGGCAATGCAATAAAATATCATGGAATACCAAGCTCTTAGATGGAAGAATAGTCAGTGAACCAGTCCAATATAAAGCAGTTCACAGCTGGTTCTAACTCTACTAACTTTGGTTTCATATAGCACACCATCAATACCAATAGACCACTTTCAAGGGTTGACCATGCATTTCTTGTGTTACTCCAACTCTTGGATATCACAATCTCCTGACACTCCAAATAAGAGCCTCAAATATGTTGGTTGCTGAAGATGATCAAGACTGCTATCAGTCTTGGACACTAAGGAATTTCAGGTTCGAACAGAAGAGAAAGTGAAGAAGAAAGAGGAGAAAGATTAGTGAGAGAGCAGTAGAACACAGGTTTGAAAGGAATGACAGATTCTAAATGATCTGCCGCCGCCACTTCAATTTAATATTTATATGTTATGCTAGTTACATGAAAGGACATATTTGCCCTTGGTGTTTACATAACACTTAACAATATAAAAAACTGAAAAGTAAATAACAGAACTAGAAATAACAGAATAACAGATAGACTAGGTATATTCTACCCTACGGACAGAGTGGCCCCACAGCTCAGTTTCTCTACAGTTGCCAAGCTCAATGCCCAACCCCAATGCTAGGTGGCACAAAGAATGTTCAAATAACATGCTTACTGTGAGTCTGTGAGGTCTTTTTATAAAGCTATAACCAGAAATCAAATGGAAGGAAATATCTGGGAAACCTTTACGGATTGTTTCTTGAAAGGTATTTCGACAATAGATCACTTGAAGGCCAGCAGATTTGTATGAAAATTCTATTTTTGACGTATAGAAGATTAGAGGAAGATGGTTGTCATTTACTCATCTCCTACTAGGCAAGCCAAGTATATCATTTTATTTGTTGCTCTTCATAAAATCAAGCCCATCTCTTACTTTTCTTTCAGAACTCACAGGACAGTCTCCCATGCACCACATGAATAGATCAAATAACCAGAGATATCTTCTTTGTCCCCTTTTGTGCCAGTAGTCAAGCAGCTAAAGTTTTTTTTTTTTGTTCACCACATTGGTGAACAGAAATAGTTTGTATTGGGCACAAATGTAAAATGCAATTTTCTTGGGAGAGGTAGCATCTCGTGCCTCTCTAAGGGATGCTTGTAATGCTTTCAGTTATTGATTAATAGTCTTGGAGGATGCTTGGTCAAGTTGATTTTGTATGGTCTCCAGTTAAGAGATACATTCATCTTTTCATATCAAAGGGTCCTCTCAACATTCTTCCTTTGTATATTCTGACCATCTTTTCTATTTACAAAACTTGTTACTTCAACTGCCAAAAAGAAAAGCCTCAGTTCAAGTAAAGCATCAAACTGTAACTTCTACATTTCAAAATAATTAATTTGAAAAACAGAAAAACATTTCAAAACATGGCTCTGGTAAAGAAGAAAAGCAGCAGAGAATTCATGTACCCAACCTCAAATAGATAAGATTTAGGCTGAGGCTGAGCTGAATCGAGAAGTGTTATATTCAGAAAACAAGAGCTTTGCTTGAATGCTAAACAACATAAAATAGCTCTGATACCATATCAACCAACATAAAATAGAATAGCAAATCAAGGAGGAAACAAGAAGAAATGGAGAAACACCAAGGTTTAAAATGGTCCGGCTTGGTAGCCTAGGAGAGGAAAAATACCCACTGTGAGAACAAGATATACAACTCTCCAAGTCTCTCTCTCTCACTCTTCCTCAAACCCCAACCACTAGCTTAAATACCAATAAACAGAAATATATCAGAATTACATAGAAACCCCTTTTCTCTCATGAATACATATAGGTCCCCATAATTTATCAATATTACAAATATACCCAAATACAATATTTCTCTCAACACACCCCCTCAAACTCAAGGTGGGAAAACCAATTTGAGTTGGAAAGTAAGGATGTCGAAGCAACCTTCATGGAAATAGGTTTACTATTGAAGCATCAGCAACCATGAACC